AAGTTGGGAGGCTCTGCGAGAAGAGGATACCAGAGAGGTGGGCATGCCTATTTGTGTTGTGTTGTGTTGTGTTGTCTGTGTCTATGTGTGTGTGTGTGTGTGTGTGTGTGGGTATGGAGACCGAGGGCAAAGTGGGCAGGGCGAAATTGGCAAAGGAGCCTGAAAGAGAGCCTGTTGACCAAGCCGTGCCAGTTCGATGTGAAGCCGACCGGCATCTTAAGGACTGAGGCCCTCATGCCAGGGCACCTGATGGACCAGGGTGGGACGGGTCAACTGATTAGGCGGATGGGACCATCCCGCTGGCGACGTGACAGCAGGCCTCTCGCACATGTGCAAACAGTCATGGGAACATTCACCACTTTCTAGTTGCGGACTGCACACCCAGACCTCTATAATCACACCTAAATGCAGCTTGAACACACATTAACACACATACGCAGACATGCGGACAGTGGTTATGAGTGCACACATGCACATTCAGATTCACACCGAAAGGATGGGCACAACCGACGGCTGGGAGCAGAGCGAGCGAGGAGGCTTTGGGTGGACAGTCAAAAATGGGACGAAGAGTCACCTGGCGTGGGAACGGTAGATTCCCACGCGCGTGGGAAAATAAGGCTCATTTAGCTCAGCCAGACAGCCTGCTCTCCAACATCCACTCGATTCTTTACCATCTTCTGTAGCGTTCGCTCCCAGTCTTGGCGCCCCCTCAGCATGGGGCCATGGCACGTCATAATCGTGTAATCTGCCCCTAAATGACTGCCCCTCGGGGGAGATAAAAGTGGAGGGTTGACTGGCGAGATAACAACGGGTTTGGGCAACTTTGAAGATATATTGACTTGGCAAAGAAGGGAACACGATGTAGGGGAGGAGAGAGATAGGATAGCGGAGAGTGAAGAGATAAGAGAAGAGAGAGGGGAGAGAGTGGAAAGAGGAGAGGAGAGAGAGCAGAGAGGAGTGAAGAGCAATTAGAGGGGAAAGAGAAGAATGGATAGAGAAGAAATAGAGCGAAGAGGAAGAAAAATGATAAAGTGAAGCGGGAAGAAAGAGGAGGAAGGAATAACTTGAAGCGAGACTAGAGAGAAGTTAGTTCTGTACTATGAATATGTGTTGAAAGAGGCCTTACTAACCAATTTTGCTATGGTCGTGCATTCTGGGCGTTATAGCGATTGTTTCTGGATCGACAGTTAAACGGTTAGCATCTCTCCGAGAATGATGCATAATATTAGTGGTGATTCAGCTTAGTTTAAAGATAAGCGGTGATTTATATTCATGAATATAGTCTTCTATGCTACTATTAAATCAGCTGTAGCGTGAGGCCTACATAAATAATTGTGGGCTAAATA